AAATGGACTCTAACACCATTTTCTGACACTTCTTTATTGAACATTGAACACTTAAGCCATTATAGTCGTTGCTCAATTAGAACTAATTATTTAGACCTAATTTCCGCACTGGGGCGGAGTGATTTGCATTTTTCAAGCCGTTTGTCAATTTTTTTTGTGAATATTTAATTATCTTAGCGCAACGCGGCAAAAATAGATCAGGTGACTAATTATTTTAAAAACCTAGAAGTTCGTTACGCAACTTACATTTCAAAAGTGTCACCACAGATCGCACTTCGAAGCTTACTAGCCGCATATGGAAGACAAATTGTAAGTATAATATTTTCCCATCGCTTCAACGGAAATCGACATGTGTAATAACCTTCTTTGTCATATTAATTTAATTTTTCAGTTGACTATACTACTACAAGTGCAAATAAATTCCATGTACGGTCATGTACGCGAAAATCAGTTAGTGGTGAAATCTTCAACATAAAGTAGCCCTTCAATCACAGGAGCGAATCACCAGTCGATAATTTATTGGTGTTTTGTCAAGCAGTTTAGAAGCTAGGCCGAGGCGGATAACACCCCCCGTGATCTCCATAATTTTTCATATGATACGAAAGCCGAATTCAATAATTGTTTTATTATTCATTCAAAATAATTCCTTTTCAAAAACATTGCTAAAACATGCTTACCTCCATTGATCCATTCATGTTAAGTTCATCTTCGATAGTGCACGTTTAGGGTTGTTCAGCTCCGCAAATATTCTCCAAATAGCAGATGTCGCCCTTCGAGTTGTCTTCTCGCTGTTCTTGCCATGTTTTTAGCTATTTTTTCGCCCAATTCTTACTCTTGAAACGAGTGAAATGTCCGCCATTTTTCAAGTTCACAACCAAAACAACTCAACCTCGTGCATTAACCTGCAAGAACGCTACATTTTGGACGTCATTTCCTCGCTAAACACAAAATTCTTCCAAATTTGGTCATCAGTAACTGGTTATGGTTAATTAAACGTGTGCTTTTAGCCAATCAGAATCGGGGAAATATTTTGAATGAATAATAAACCCTGGTTATTGACCTGATTGGTCAATTAAGTCGCGATGTTATTGGTCGTCGACGTCTGTCAGTTAAGCTGTGATGGCTTAACTGAGAGACGACTAATAACATCGCGACTTAATTGTTAATCACTGTCAACAACAAGAGTCCTATTCAGAACTAAGTTCATCCAGAAGATCACTCAACCTACTTATGAAATGACTCCTGGGTTCAAAGCTGGCACACACGGGAAGTAAAATACAACAATCTGGGACCTCAATTTTAGTCTTGAAGGCTTATCGGCCTTTCAAGCCCAGGTCTCTATGGCAATTAGAAGGGTTTTTAAGTCTGGTTGTTGGCAGCAAAGTAAAGTAGAGCTTGAAAACATCATGTACCTCTTGCTGTGTATGGCTAACGGGCAGGCTGAAGCATTAACAGAAGAGAAAATTTTGTTCTTTTGTCTCCGCCTTTCTGTTAGTATATCTCATTCGTGTAACCATCGTCACTTTAATTTCTGTCATGATAGGAGTGTCGACGGTAAAATTTCTTTGGACATTGTGCGTTTCACCCAATGTCGGTAAAAAAAAATTTACTTGAATTTTGGCTCTTGCACCAAAATGCTTGAGAAAATTTGCATCGCCAATTTACGTTTTGCGACAGTATGTCGATACAATTTCCACTTCCGTTTCGCCATGCCGTGTAGCAAAGAGAAGGCAGTAAAATTTTCTTCTATACTTCCTCCGTCACGTCGACGACGAACTTCCACCTGACCGATTTGAGGGTCTTTCAATAGACTAATTTTTAATTTATTAATGACTTATCTCTCGGTTCGCGGAAACTCCGCAAACTACAAATATTTTTAGATTCAAGAGTGTGCCGTTTCAACTGAACTGTTCACTACGAGACGAAGGAGAAATAACCAATTCCTGGGCCTGGCTGTTCAAAGCTGGGTTTAGATAACCCAGGGCACCCAGGGTTAGTACAAAATTTGAATTCAGACTGATGAAAGCCTCAAAAGCAAATTCACTTTATTTCAATTTGTGTACAATTTGACAAGTGGATGCTATAAACGAATAGGGAAAATTATTCGAGAAAATGCTTTCGAACAAAAGAAAAAGGAACCGTACTCGGATTAAAATTTAAGCCCGGGTTAGTGCTGAGTCGGCTTTAGAAGAGCTGATTGGTAAGGCTTCAATGCACGTCATCAACTACTTGTATTAAGCGCTGAAGCACACGTACCAACTCCTCTCTTCTGTATGGCCATTACCTTACGCATGCACTCAACCATATCACCCCGGCAGTGGCAGTCATGGTCAGCTGTTTCGACCTTATTTGGGCTCATCAGTATGGTATAGCCGTCCGGTCTATGAACAGGCGAACCCGTGTGTCAGTAGACTCTTTACAGTCCCCTATTTTTTCGTGAGATCGTTTAGATATACCGCGTTTTAGCGTCGCGGCTATCTTGATTTTCAAATGTGCCAAGGGGACGGTCGTCGGGGATTATAGCTCGGGGGGGGTGGGGGGGGGGATAGAGGGACTGTAATAACATCACTGCAGCTCGCGTTCACGGAGCACCTTGTATCAGCAACGCAGGCGTTTGATTGGTCATTAGACAATAGATGTTGACAACGGGTTTAGTTTAAGTTGCCGACATTGACAAGTCGTTGGCAAGTCGACGTTTCCATTCAACGTACGCTTTCATACCATAAGGCACATCTTGCGCAAACACACGAAGGATTTAAGCAAAATGTTTTCTTGTGCATGTTTACCGATTTTATTTCGAGGAATGGCCCAGAAACATTATAAATCACTGTTTCGAAAGGAGATATTTGTAAACACGCGTAATCGATGCTAAATGTGTCTGGCATGTTTTTCATCACCGACGGAGTTTCTTAATTAATGAATGGAAAAAGGCGTCAAATTCCTGTCACGCCTCCTGAACGCGAGCTGCAGTGATGTTATTACAGTCCCTGTATTTTTCTCGCTTCCTCCCAAACCGCCCCCGCCCCCTAGGTAGTTTTGACACTCATGCAAGATGGCAGCCCGTAACGCAAAACGCTCGATCTCAGTGATCTTACGGAAAAATAGAGGACTGTCAACAGTCTATGTGTCAAAGACCCTTTATGAGTGCCACTGCCTGGGTGCTATGGTTGTGCGCGTGCGTAAGTTAAAGGCCATAATACCGCGGAGTTGGTACGTGTACTTCAATGTAAATTTTGGTATTGTTAACAACTGCTTGCCCCGAATATAAAATAAAAACTAGCCGCACACTATTAATCTGTACTGGACGAGGGATACGCATGGTGTTCAGTGTTTGTAGCTGAAGCATCACACTAAATACCTTGACCATGGTTGTCTTTTTAACCAACCCAACTTTGCGCAGGCGCAGTACATATCTCCTTATAACCCTAACAGCGACTGATATAGGCATTGGGGCGTTCGTGATGCCCATCTCCATATATCGTCGCGGTAACGCATATAAACTTTGGAAGGTAGACATGACTTATGAATGGTCTTCTTTGGCTGTTCGCTTGTGTTTCTGGTCTCGATATCAATTGAGAGACTGCATGCAACAGCAAATCCATTTCGACATCGGTTGATATCAGCGTCAACATACAAGAAATCGATGGATAGCTGGAGTTTGGGTTGCCTCAGCTATTTACACGTCTTTCACGGTTGCAGTTTTGCATTTTAATTTATTAGGCTTGTATATATGGTTCATAGTGGCTGGCTGTGTCCTTGTGTCAATCTTAATTCTCTGCGTCAGTTATGTCGCTATATTTTTCGCGGTGCGCTGCCGTAAACAGCCAGAAACAACCAGCCGCCACGCTAGGAAAGAAAGGAATCTCACCGTGACACTAGCCATTGTCACGCTAGTCTCTATGACAGTTTGGCTACCCTACGTGCTCTTCACATTCCTGGAGATGAAGTTGACAAAGAAGTTTTCCGACGTAGCACTTTGACGTGCGCGCAGCGTTTGCGAGGTTCTGTTGTTTGCCAACTCGTTTGTAAATCCAATCCTGTATACGATCAGGATGACAGACTTTAAGAAAGCGTTTACCACTTTCATCGGGTTCAACCATTCTCAAAGTGGAATATACAACAGCACGGACGAGGAACATTCTGAAGGGATGAGATGTTCCCAAATGACTTTTAATTTAAGTTAAGCGCTTTTAAGACCATACAGAAAAAAGCCAAACGTCAGATTCAGGTTGGCAATTTCTCAAATAAGGAAATAAAACCTGCGCCTAATATAATTCTTATGGATAAGACTGACATGAAGCTAATTATTATTGTGTAGATAGCACGAAGAGTAAGAGAAAATAAAGGAAGACTGGGTCACGTTGAACGACCTTACAATTGCTGTAAATGAGATCGTATTTAAATAATAATTAAAAAACCACAACAGCCAACTCATTTAACTTCCAATTTCATAACTCAGGGAAAATCTACTAAAAGGGGTAGTGACTTTAATATATCTGCTCAGTATAACTAGGCATTTTCCAGGGCTGTCCTTAGGTTGGTTTTGTATGGGTATGTGGCGCTGCCAAGACCTCAAAATTTTGAACTCTTATTTCAAGTTGTTACTTGGAGACTCCGGTATAGAACAGGGTACCCAACCTCGAGACGTTTCCTTGAGAGCGCGGCATTTACTACTACGTTCCTTTTTAGGGAGAGCCACCAAGAGAGTTCCAGTTTTGTCAAAGGTACATCGTTCATCAGTTACAGTTTTATTTGACATGATCGAGGCCGAGCAAAATGACGAAATTTGGTAACGTTAGGCAACTTTGTCTCTCGAAACTGTAAAGGAACGCCAAACGAAGCATTAAAAAGGAATGAGTGGGAGGCTGTCTTCTCCGCAGATATATTGGTCTCGTAGGCTTCTTTTTCTTTGTAATGTACTTTGATTATTTTATTACGCCTAGCTTTGTAATTTCTTTCGAGTAAAAGTTAAAAAATAAAAGAGACACACACAAACTCATGTTTAAAATATTAATTATCTTTGCCAACTCCGAAATATTTCGTTAAATTAATTCACGAGAAACTTCTAGTACAACATAACGAAAGTTTATAAATAAAATAGTCATGCTCCTCAGTGATAGCTTAAGGTCCAGAGGTAGCGCAATGAAAATTGAACGTTATCAACTCATCACTTTTTCTCTCCGTGACATCTCATTTCAGTGGAATTATTTATTTAAAATGTCTCTTTTTGGACTAATAATATATATTTGAATAATGTGCTAATAACATTTAACTAAAAGCTTTTACATCAAAAGAAACCCAGATATATGGCAAAGCAGGAATATTCGGGGAGGGGTTGGAGAGAAGAAAGGGTCAGGAAGGGAAGGGTGACGAATGATTAGTCCTGAGATTTGCGTAAATGATGCCCAAGAATCAAACAAGGATTTCACCCCAAGAAAATTGCGGAAGGGTGAAATGAGTCTGATATGCCTATAAAAAGGTCATTTTAACAGCAAAAGAAAATCCAGTCGTCTCAGGAAACATGCAACTTCCTTATCCACCGGGGCACGGGATACATTTGAAATCCTTCCAAGCTAGTAGAGTCTGCAGGATCCATGTTCAGCGGATCCATGCGGGCTCGATAATAGGAGCATAGGGCCAAAATCGAAGAAGACCTCCTGAGCACAGTCAAAGAAGCCACGTCACGATATTTTGAGAGAATTAATTTTTGCAACCCTACAAAATTTCCTTAAAAATCTTAGTTTGAACTAAGGATGGTTTGAGACTGACGAGACAGGGACGCATTAAATAAAAACAATAAAAATTACCTTAAAAAATTCAGCTGATGCCCAAACCGTGATGTAACACTCCTCTACGTCATAACCTAAGTATTGTCTAATAACAATTGGACATTGCTAAGAAACAATTACTTGGGATATATCTTACTTAAGAGGTCTGTAAAGCCGACCCCAAAAAACTCCATAAGTGACCGTCATTTTGTTATAACTTATAGTTGAAGACGAAGTTTCATGTATAATTCTGGATGGCCACTCAAGTTAATCGCTGTCACTTTCATCCTCTATGTTTTGAACGAAAAGCAGAGCATCAGCTTCGATACCAGCATCCTCCAGTGTTTGATCTTCGTTTGAGGAGTCGACTGCGTAAACTTTACGTGGGAAATTGGACACAAGGACGAACTCTGAGGGTGACTCATCATGGCAAAACACGAAGTCGTATAAAGCCTGTGAGAAAAAACAGTCAGTTACCAATTGAAACAAAGAACCGATGAAATTACTGCAACCTCAGACTCATTAAAACCTTTCCTTAATGCTAACTGAGCCTAAAAGAAACTAAAGAAATAGCGAGTGAAACAAGAGGGGCGGGTAGGGGTCAAGGGCACCTCCCCTCCAGCCTCTAAAAACTCATCATTTGACACAGATTTAATCGGACTAATTGTTGACGAAGAAGGGAAGTGTAAATAGTTGAACATATGATCACGTAGTGGGCGTGTGCAGCACAGAATGTCACAGCGGAAATTTCAAATATTCCTTACTCTATGGCACATGGCAACCGCGATGCAACGTGGTGATTTTTAGTACAGTACTGCCTTGAATGCCTAAAAGCACATTGAAATTTAATAAAAACCTGAAAAACAGTTCAGTTTTTATCTCAAATTACCGCACCAATATACTTCAAGTAAAAGTGGTGTCTTTGGCTGTCGATGGTCTGGATGGAGGCAGATTGCAACTTGATAAAATTGGTTCAATTATCAGTTTTAAATCAGTTTTAAGTTAAACCCCTCTGTGGTCAAAAAATTGCCCTCCGCAAAAGCTCATAGCTGGAACTACACAATACATGTTCATACTTTCAGTTCAGCTTTGACCAAAAAAGTTAAACGCACCGGAACATAGCCCCTTCAAATCAGCTCATAACAATTCTATGCCAAGGGTTAGATCAGGGCGCAACTATTTTGAAATTCTAAACTACGTTATTTTTTGACAAGCACTCTTTTCGAGCACTACAACGGGCTTTTGTTGTATCATGTACGACTAAGTTTGCTAGACCAGACTCCTCCTTCTGTTATTCACGTTGTTTTTTTTTTCTCTCCTATGAGAGAGGTCGAGATAGTACATTTACCCAAAACATTTTTTGAAAGATGTGTTAGGAATCTTACTTGCAAAGAATGTGACTTAAGAAATCTCCTCTCTAGCCGTTTACCATTGGACAGTTTAATGAGCACCCGTAGAGAGTCAGGGTTGGATTTCTCTGGTTCCTCAGGAATCCCGCATTTTCGATCCACGCGCTCCTGAGCAATAGACTAACAAAGACAACTTAACAGTTACCAACAAACGTATTACTTAAAAATAATGTAAACAACTTCCTTGTACAACAGCATTTGAAGCGGTTACTCGAAAATTACGGCCCATTAGCTCTGGTAACTCCGAAGATAATGGCGTCCGTAACTTTCGCAACTCTGTGGTATTCCCTTGTGACCTAGACTACGCCGTTACAAAGCACTCTCGAAGACGGTGCGGGCGCTTTCTACACGGGTCACTAGTCATCGGCGTATCCTTTGGTCGATATAACAAATTCAGGAAGAGTGATCCCCGTCTGCTCTTTGCCCGTCCATCAAATAGTCATTTGATTTTGACATGGTGTCGAAGTACATGTACTTAGTAATGATATAAGGGATTTTGCAAAAACTAAATCAGAATAGAACTGGAAGAGATGCCATGCATTTTTTAGAGTTCTTAGCACGGTAAATTACTGTCAAACAAAACGACGTTTTACCAATCAGAAGGGTTACCGGAGACAAGGAAACACAACCAAAATCTCGTGCGCTGAAAGCTATTCTAACCTGTGCCCTGTTTCTTTTCGCTTCTTCCTTCTGTCTTTTTGTTTCTTCTTCCTGTCGTTTTCTGTCCTCCTCTTCTCTCTTTTTTCTTTCCTATAATAAAGCATAAACCGAAGCTTAGGAACGTTAATGTTGCCTACACTAGCTACTGAGACGCACGCAAGAGCGAGGCAGGAACCACAGCCTCACACGCCGTAATAAACACGAGCGCTTCCCAGACTAGCTCTAAGGCAGGGGTCTTTCAGAGTAACGACGGGTGATAAAAAAGTGTATCAGAATTACTGAGTGAGGATATTGCCAAACCCTAAGCTGAACCACAGTTCCCGCGAAGTAGACCAGGTCTTCTGGCCAATCCAACTGAGTACATGTGACATGTAACTAAGTCCAATTTGGCGATATTCCACTCTAAGAAATAATATTTTGTAAACTGATTACAGGAAACAGAAACAAAATCGCAGGGTTACACGGAACTGGTATACAGTAACGACGTCTCTTGTAGCAGCTTTACAGGTCAAAGCTTAAAATGTCTCAAAGCTCATAGCTGGTATCCGTGGTCGCCATGATCTATGCCGAAAAAGCGTGAAACCAGAACACTCAGCGGCTAAGATTAAGCATGACGAACAAAATCAAATCAGATCTGATTGATTATCAAAACAAACAAAATTAAACCGACTGATTGGACTATATTATTAACCATACAAAGTGGCCGATTGTAGTCTGCAAGGCAAACTGTCATTTTTCCGTTTTCGACAAAACCACTGATATGATGAGACTATTACGAATTCACAGGAAACGTTTTGCATGGTAACATTTTCATGTCTCGAGGGATTTCTTCAAAACGAAAGTTGATTTTTCTTGAATTTCGATTTACGGCAGGTAATATTAAGATTCTATAGGAAGAGCTTACTTTTTCTTGATCAGCTCGAACTGACTCATAATAGGCCTCGTCTTGTTCATCACGCAGCCGCTGAGCATGGGTACGTTCCTGCCTGTTAGGAAACAAAAGCAAAGACAGTATATTAAGGATATATCATGGAGGAGTGATAGTTTTAAAAACCCTTGCAGTGGTTAACTGTGAATTCGTAATACAATAGAAGTAAGTGAGCTATCTTAGACATAGCAAATGGTTAGGAGGGCGTGAAGCGACATTAGGAAGCGTTCTGCTCGGAGATCTTCAACTGGTGTAAAGCCTTGACTGATTGCTTGCATTACTAAAATTCAAGACCCTCACATCTAGTCTACGGATTGCCGCGAACAAAAAAAACGTTGGACTGAGCTGTCATAGTTGTAATCATGACCGGGGAAATAAGAGCAATAACGAATACGTGAACTGAAAATCGCATATTAGAGCTGCAAAATGAAGAATAAACGCAAAGATCAAAGCAGCTGTAGACGCAACTTAACGTTCAATCCTTCTTTCCGCAGTGTAAGATTTACACTATTATATTTTCATTATTCCATGATCTTTTATCCTTTCACGGGCTTATAACAAAACAACTCAATGACCGGCAGCTCCTAGTTGGCTTTTGGTAGCACCGGTAGAGGATCAAGGGTTCGAATCCCGTACTAGCCTGAATTTTTCCTGGAACCCGTGACTCAACTGCAAAATATGCGTCTGCGATCCTCTTTACGTTTAATGCAACCAAGTACTCTTCAGTATAAATCCGTCAAGTGGGTGCCCTGTGCATTGGATGTTCGTTTTGTGTAAACGAGTTTAATAGAAGCACGCGCCATGATGCCGAGATCGATGGGTTTCTGTTTTTTCTGTTTTTTTTATTGTTTACATTAAGCTCATCTGCGACCCCCTCGCAAGCTCTGTTACAAGAGTTACTAACCTGTCCACTCTCGCTGCCACTAAAGCTGGCTCGTTATCTTCTATTAACCTTGCTAGCAGTGAAATATAGCGGTCAACAGTCATTATACCTGCGAAAAACACAAATGTTCTCTTTTCTTATTGGTACAGAAGAAGCAAAGCATGAGTTAAATTACATCAGTATTAACAAAGAAAGGATAAAGTGAACGAAAAAATTAACTCGTATACTTGACACCCCAGACTGTGGACGCATACAAAATCAAAATACCATGGTATCTTTATCAGTTATTCCTTAGTTTTGCAGACCGAACAAATGTTGTGCCTTCACCGCTTGCTTTAAATCCTTTTTGCAGTCAAATTCTACTGTTTGAACTCACCTTCCATTCGCCCTACAACTGTCATTCGGTTATCTCGAAGACAGATCAAAGCCAGAAAAGGGTAAGTGGCTTCTCGTAAAGCCCGAGAAACTGAAATGCAAATTAAACAGAATTAATAACAAGCACATTTTACTACTAGTAGCGTTACACTACTTGTTTTTCACATTTACATCAGTCTGATTTAGAAAAGACAACGCAGCGATCCACAAATGCCAACGCCAAAGCGCACGGGGAGGACTAGATCCGACTTCCGGTGCTTAATTTGTCAATATGCCTCATACCAATCTGCGCGCGCCGTCCTCACTGTAGTTGCATCTCCATTGTTAAATCTATTACATGTATCTACGGAGGGGGGCGGGGAGGGGGAGGTCTGTACTTTAGCTTCTACAGCCGAAGTTGGAGCTAAAACTTCTCCGTTAAACGGTCTAGTGGCAAATTATAATAGCAACGATTTGGCAAAAAAGACTAAATTACATGTAGGCTTTACTCAAAAGCATCAAGAAATAAAATGTTCATTTTCCATATTCAATCACCTATTCATTTTACTTTTCTTATACAAAATTGAACAAAATACAGTCACTCTCTCTCTAAGACGGACACCTTTGGGACCGGCACTAAGTGTCCGTCTTAGAGAGGTGTCTGTCTTATAGAGAGTCAACTAAAGGGAGTAAAGAAAGGCAGGGACCAACTCTAGGTGTCCGTTTTACAGGGGTGTCCATCTTATAGAGGTGTCCGTTAAGAGAGAGTCGACTGTATAAATAACAGTCTGGAATAAGAACAATACATGTAACCATTAATTGAACCCAACAATTTGTCTATGATCAATGGCAGTCTATATGTACTTAGTACACAGTACCTTTATATCCCTCTGGTGATTTCACATTAGCTGCCCAAAATAACATGTTGCCATTTACATACTCCCTAAATCCTTCATTTGTCATTGTTGAGCTGACAAAAAAAGTTGAACACTGTAAGCAATAGTGGTGAGCCACGTTACAGTCTACAAGTCATAGTTTAACTTAAGTTACTGATAAAAACAAAGCTTTTTGTTTTTAACTCAAGTATTAAAGACTTACAGTGTTATGGTTTTTTAAGTGACACAAAATAACGGTACATATCTTATCTCTGGCACAATCATCTTGCAAGGAAAAGTGATGGAGTGGAAATGACCACCGTGAAAATGTGTTTGTCATAATGAGGGTAAGTTGTATAGGGCTCTTGTACCACCCACTTTACTAAAGCTGGAACAAAAAATGCCATTTTGGTTAAACCAGGGTGTGATTGAATTGTGAATCTGACATACCTACAAAACTGGTCTGTATCCTGGTGTTCTGAACTATGAAGATAGACGAGAAGAAAGCGTAACTCTCTTTTAGCATCATCCAAAGCCTAGAAAGAATGTTACAAAATCAAATAAAGTCAGCCCTGACAAACAGTCCTGAAAGATGATGATGATGATGATGATACCTTTATTAAAGTGTCAAAACTGTAATAGCAGTGTATAACCACTAAGTGGGGACACTAAAATAAATTTAAAATGAATAAATCAATTAATAAATTAATTAAAATTAAGAAAAACTATGTACAGTATAAGCAAGTGAGAAATTTGAGAGAACTATATACGATATTGTCTTATAAAAAATAAGAAATAAAAGATTAAGAAGTGCAAAGAGAGCAGTTAGAGCAGTTATTGTCATCTAGTAGCATGCTAAGATCCACTTTTCTGATGTTATATTTGAAGGAGGACAATGTGGAAGCTTTTTTCACGTTACTAGGAACAGAACTCCATATCTTTGGGCCCATATACCTGAGCGAGTGCTTTCCAAAAGTGAAGTCATGATTGCGCAGTTCATACTTAATTGCAGGCTGTTCAAAGAGAGTGCTAATGCATGTTGGGCACATGTTGTTTTTAACTTTATACATGAGAATAGCTATGTCCTGTAGTCGCCGGTTGTGTAGAGTAGATAGCCCCGCCATAGATAGTAATTGACCATAGGACGAATGTTTATCACAATATATAGCCCTAAGTGCTCTTTCCTGGATACGCTCTAGTTGTCTAGAATCACTAGCACGGCAAAAATGCCATATAAGATGACAGTAGGTTAAATACGGGGGAACAGCTGCCTTATATCACTGTAACTTAGTTTGTGTGGGTATAAGGTTCCTGAGCCTCATAAGAATGCCTACCCGCTGGGCGCTCTTCTTAGAGATACTACTTATATGTTCATCAAAACGAAAATTGTTATCAATACAGACACCTAATAGCTTGAGACATTCAGTGGATCTGACTTCATGATTGTCAATCATAATACTGTCTATAGACAGCAACTGCAGATTAATGCTCCTTAATTACAAGGTTTGTTTAACTGAACTCTTTTCTTTTGCTTATTGACACTGTAAGCTGCTATTTTAGGCCTCAAGACATTAAAAACTATGTTACCCACACTACCTTCCCTAACCTAACATTTTGCCTTAAGTAAAAAGCAAGTGTTATTATTGAGTTAGTGGATGGGTAGGTGGGCAGTTTTGGCCCAGAATATTCTTCAAAACCATTGTGGTGCTGTTTCAGTGGCAGGAGGGGCGGGGGGTGGGTATAGTTGGGGATTACTTGAGACATAAACTCTATGATGTCTAAAACAGCAGGTTTTGAAACTATATTACCCCAGTGAGACAGTTTATATCAAGTTATTGTGTACAAAATATGGCTTAATGCAACAATGCCTTTAAAATGCTTAATTCAAAAAGAGTTTGTAAGAGACACTCCCTACCTGACTATAACTTCCCTGATAAAATGTTGGATGAACAGAGCCAAACTCCTTTTCAAATTCAGCCTTAAATTGTAAAACATCTTCTAATGGAGTTGTACGAGCTAAAAAAAATCAAACAAACAAAAATGAAGATTGATTTTTTCAATATATTTTTTTTTGAAATGTTATATTAAAACAACCAAGAATGGTAAGTAGGTACACCATATACAGAACAATACTGTCACTGATGAATTACAAATAATTTTAAATATTATTTATTATTAAATGTCTCATGCTACCTTGAAATGCTGTTGGCCAGAGAAGACGTGCTAAAAAAGAAACCAGTATATAAGAGCATCATTAATGTATAAAGAAACTGGGAAGCTGGGAAGTTATATTTTTAAAAGTTTTACCATGGTTAACATTTTTACTTTCATATTAGATCTGCTTGATTGACTTCTAAAATTGTCACTTTTACTCAGACAGCCATACTCATTGTGGTCATGTTAGTTTACTGTGACTACAGTCACATGAATCAAATAAGGAAACAAAATACAGTACCTCAAACTAAACATAACTGGCTAAATGTTCCATTAGCAGGAGGGTACACTTATTTCGTAGAAATGTACACTGTATTGCCTTTTAACAACCCAAACAGCACTAAATTCAAAAACACAATTACCAATCCATCCTAGAACATCAGTGAAAACACTGGAACCAAATCTAAATGGAAGTAGTGGTAATGATAAAAACCAATAAAGCCAGCTCTGAAAACAAAATGAACAGGAAAACAGTATTCTTACAGTTTATAATGGTATTGACTTCAAGGCCGCTGCTAAGATTTAAAGTTACTAGGTATGCAATTAGTAGGTGGAGAAGGGAACTGCTAGGAATTTCTTTTGGTTGTAGTTCTCTTTTGTTACTAATGAAAGTAACTGGGGGTCATGTTCAAAGTCAAGGTCAATAAAATGCAGAAAAGAATGAGGCCAGGAAGCCATCTTGAACAAGCTTAGTCAATAAAGAATTTATTACAATGGTCACAAGGATAATGCAGGAAATGCAGGAAATGGTTGGTAAGCAAGATAGGTCCATCTTGCACACTTGAGGACACTATCCGAACACAGGAATTGCTTAGACTTGCTCCCTCACCGATCCAGTTGTATAATAGACCTATTTGATGGTTAACAGACAACTTCAGAGCTAACAGAGTAGCTTTGTCACTTCTGTAATGTGGAGACAAATTCATTTTCAAGATTCCCCTCATCACTGAAATGTCTGGTCAAAAAAAAAAGCCTGCATAATAAATAGGCCATTTCCGAGTTCCCCTGGGCCTCTGTTTCAAAACAAGGGTAGGAGCTCAGCCTTTGATATGGAAATCATTTTTCATTCTCATGCAAATAAAACTCATTTTCACAAGAAAGGTTGTGCACCAAGCCTCATTATGAAAATGAGGGTTTTTGGAACTCGGAAGTGGCCTATTAATGTGCGTTATCATGAAAATTCTGGGTATGGAGTACAGTAAACATCCACTACTAGGAACCTGCATTTTCCCAAGCTATCCAAACCAGGCTTCTTAAATAAATGGTAATTGGCACAAATTTAGGCTATTTAGGTTATTACAATTAACAGGTTCTTATTTTATGAAGAAAAAAATATAAAGTTATTATATTTTTTTGGCTAAGAGTATTTAGTGGTATTCAGCTTATTCCTAAAATATATGTATGTAATATATGCATATATATTTCCAAAGAGGACTCAACCTAAATGTTAACTTCTAAAAACACTGGCGACTGCTATACAGGCTAGTTGAGCTGTATATTATATTTCTGCAAGCATACAATTTTTTTAAGAAAATTTTTAGAAAATACAAACCTGTTTCAAATTTTAGGTTAAACAGGTTCTTGTATAGAGGGTACGTAGCTGGCAAATTCTAGCCTAACAGGTTCTTAGTTGCAGGTTTTTACTGTATGTGACAAGGTGACCATGTTAAGTACCAGGCAATTCAAAAATGCCCATTCCCTGCTCCCGCCCCTACCCTGGATATTTCACTGGGGTTTTCCTCTATACAGTGGGGAATTTGACCCAAAATGAGGCCCACCCACTCGGGTATTTAAGTTTCATGTGAAGACGTTGGCCAGTGTGCCTTTGAAAAAGCCCATTAAAAAGTGGGCTTTCTGCAAGGAACAATTTTATTGAAATGAACAAACTTCCAAAACTTTAGATATTTTGGTTGTGTTTAGTACGATGTTTACATTTAAATAAAAGGTTTGATGCACAGGAAAATTCTTGAATAGTTGCTGGTGCGTGGGGGATTTGATACTTTTTGAAGTGCTACCCAGTGGGGCATTTGACCATCTAAACTGCCAACATACCAGGGAACTTGACCGAAATTTTTCAAAAAAGTCAAATGTCTGGGGGTTTGCATGGGGGGAGAGCTAGGGGGAACATGGGTGGTTTTGGAATTGACTGGTAACTTTTAGTACAATATTAATCCTTGCTGCAGAATTTGTTTTAAAAAAAAGTTTTAGTTCCCAGCGGAGAGAAACAAAAAATTTTGTGCTTGATGACTAGCATGGCCACCAGTGCAGGATGTCATAGAAGAACCATTATTACCTGGTTTCCTCTTTGAGCTACTGCTGTCACAGCTGGGTCCCCTGTGGTGTCTGATGTTCTGCCACTGTTTTCAGTTACATGATTCTCGGTAACAGAATTTGTTCCACTTGAAGTATTGTCCTCGTCATCACTGCATTCAAATGAGTTTTGCCGTGGGTGAAAAACTGGCTGGGAACCTTCTGCTTCATTTAGAGTATCCTGAACTGCCGTCTGTGACACGAAATGCTCATCAGAAATTCAGGTACGAATAACTAGAGACATATAAGCCTTACATATTGATAATTCAAGCAACCTTGCCTTTTCAGTAATATTCAGCTGGACTAATATGAAGTGCTACGCTAACGAAACTTTATTAAAACTTAGTGACCTTCAGTAGACATATGTACTAGGAAATTCCAAAAAAAATTCTCAAATTTACGAGAAAATTGGTATAGAAACAAACAATACTTATTCAGCTCCACACCGAAAAAGAAACTAACCTCTATGTCCCAGTTGTGCTGTTCAAGAACGCTTCTACACTTTTCGACATCATGGAAACCAGTTATATCCTGAAAAACAAAAATCAAAGGATATATCTTTTTTTAGAATGAAGAATCGAGGGGAATAATGATCCAACCTGAAACTGCGCCAAAATCTCATTTCGAGAAACTGAATCGTCGCTTGCTTCCGCCATTTTGGTCTTCTTCCCACATTACCTCGCGGGCTCAATGTTTAAAGTCTGCCTCGACCCAGGATTTTGCCCGCAAAAGGCATAACCCGAACTTTGAATCGCGTTTTTGAGCAGGAACCATTAACCGATTTCTATGCTTTTTGGCATCCTTAATAAAGAATGATGGAACTTTAAGAATATATTATTTATTACATTGTAAGGTATAAAATTTTTTGAGATATCGGCATACATTTAAAACCGCATTTTTACAAAACGAATCATTATTTTTTATTTTAATTTTTACAAAAAATGTAAATAACTTTGAAATCCCTCGACAGAAATTTCCCTAACTGCCCCTAATTAAATTCAATTGTCCATTGGGTATAATGAGAAGAATAAGACTTGTCATATATTTTTTTTCATCTTTATACCCAGAGTAGCTCAGAGTGGCAAACTTCCCGTGCGAATGTGATGGCTATGGACTATGTTTTTTAAAGATTTAACGAGAAAGAGAGTAAATAAATATTAAAGAAATAAATAACTAAATATAAATAGTAAATAATTAAATAAAGGAATATAATAACAGTAAAAGAGAAGGGGACAAAAAAGCAGCAAAAAAAAGAAATCAAACAAGTAGGAAGCAGACAAACAAACAAAGTAATAAGAACTGAAGCACTGATTTATAGGCCGGTATTAACATTTGAGTACTAAAAAGAACATATTAATATGCTGTGCTGTATGCCCGGCAGCCAGGAAGGATCTTAAAGAAATTAAATGCCCAGCACTCAGGAAATTTTCTAGAATTTCTGCAAAATCCCTTTTTCTAATCGTTCTTCATTTAGAATTACCAAGCGATCAGGAAAACAAAGAATGGCTTCACAGCTGAGCGGTTGTGGTTTCTTGGGCACTAGAGTGAGTAGAGGCGAAGAAAAAATTCGTGAGAAGCAGTGAATGCGTGACTCACGGCCGGGCACGTGTTCATCCAAGCTAGATACCAGGCAGTCTACTTTATTATTATATCTTTAAAGGATTATTGGACCATTTGTAGCCGCTTGGCTACCCTGAAGGTCGATGCATGAAATACTTTCAATGGGGGCTAAATATACTCTCTATGTTGAAATTCCCTACTGAGACAAATTGGACTGCCGGGCATTTAGACTGAGGAGAAACTGCGCCCTTCAGTCAACAACACTGGCAACATCAATAACAAGCTAAGCCTTATTTGCAGGACCATACAAGTACATACAGTATTGCAAAAGCTATGTATAATTATGCTTTAAGAATGAGAACCAAAATTTAATCAGTGGCCAATTTAGCTACTTTGTTAATAATTCGTCGTGTAAGTCCAAGCAAGCTGAAATTCTAAATTAATATAGTAATTAGATGTGTTCATCAGTTCATTGATAAACACGTTCACAAGTAACTGGCATGGGTAATATTTGGAATTAGAAACTTAGTTTTATTGTAAAAATTATTCCTAATCAAAGAGAATGTAGAACAATTAAAAAGAAAGTGAATTTCATCTTCTATTTGATTGGATCCACAAAAAGGGCAATTCCTATTATCTCCGGTAGTTTGATTGTATCTACCATTTCTATCATTAGTCTGTGGCTACTTATTCTTAGTTGTACTAATTTCTTTCTCTTAGCTGTTCCTCTTGTTAAGTCTAGGTAATTAGTCAAGCACAACAGAGGCTATGTACTCAAAACCGAACCCCCATACCTCAGGGACACCCAACGACGGTTTCCTCCCAAAAACATATATTGAAAACACTTTTTAGGCTTTTCAGAGTACCGTTTCGATCTCAAGAGATGCATTATCAGCGGCACTCTATAGAATTTGTATCTGTTCGGTCACTCTAGGTGAAATAGGGTCTTTTCGAAATTACAGGGGCTTCTGTATTTCCCGAAAATTTTGGACGCAAATTAACATGCATATTACGAAAGTAAGAATTTTTCTGATTCATCTCTCCATCACATGATTTTGTAGGTTTCCTTTTTCTACGAAAAATAGTCTTATCTGGGGAGTGAAATGTGAAAAATTAAACTTCAGAAAATCATACGGAATTTAATAGATAACTTTTCGAAAATTGTACATGAATGGAAGGGTTCTTTTACAGTGTGGTTCGGTGCCCAGAATACCTACTGACCTCTGGTTAAGAAATTCTGTTGTTTCTCGTCACTCACCAATTCTAAACCATGATAGAATATTTTGAGGAGGATTGGAATAAAATTTGGCAAAATTAGAGTAACGCTAAGGGCTTTCCCAAGATTCAGCAGCAGCGCCTCTAGTGTGTCAAGCTGTGTCGAGAGTCTCAAGCTCAAGGCGGTTCGAGGTTGCGAAATAATTAAAAGTTTCAAAATCAAAGCACTCTCTCTCCGACTGTTTTGGGAAACTAATCGAGGCTAGTATGCAGGTATTCTGGAGCTGAAGAGAAGGCTCTTTAACTTTCCAGCTCCGCTTTCAGACTGCTGGGTATTTCAGCCTGTGTGAAATCGTGCCCCTGAGTCACGCGCTTTGATGCGCTGCTACTCATGACATTTTTTTATCTGTCCAAACGGAGTCGACTCTACCCTTATGCCCAGCTGAACCTTAGCCTGTTCCAGGCTCCTATATAGTCGGGTCTGCTGAATTGAGAAAGTGCAAAATGGGAGGAAACTGGGGAGAGTAGGGGCTTCCTTTTTCCTAGTTTCCCGCCCCGCCAACTTTTTGCGTTCCTTTTGCTTTCGCGTCTTTCCCTACTATCATGAGAGCCTTGAACAGGCAAGGTGAACCACAACGACTCAGCTACGAAGTCAGTTTTATTTTCCTGATCGCTTGGTTAACTAAGTGTTCAGTATTTAGCGATACGATCGATGGGATCCTCTCTTAGTAGATCATAGATCATAACCTAAGGACGTTTTATAAATGTATTTTTATGTGTTTCACGCTGAATTGCTGACCTCATTAGTTGACGTTCGTCGTTAGTCAGTGATTAGTATAGTTACGTGTCAGCACTAAAGTCCGGGTAGTCCCTTTAGGGCCTCCACACACAAAAAGAAACCTAGGACATAAGACACTTAATTTTACGAGGTAAACAAGCTTATACCATGTACGGCAAATTTACACATGTCCCGCGGGTAGAATTAAGGCAAAAATAAAGCATAAAATTTGAATTACTTACTACTAACAGTTTGTATTAGTTATAACGAAACAACGGATGCTATAAAATCCTCAAAATCTAGCTAAAACTGGAATACAGGATAATTTTCCACGAAACACTGTTATTTCCAACAAGCGTTAGACTGCGGGCAGTCTCTTATTTTTCTTGGCAAAGTTAGTCACGCAAAGTCCGCAAATAACCCATGCCAAGCACGCCGGCGGGCCGCGATATTAATGCATCAGCCAATTCCAGCTGCGCCCAGCCCCCCCCCCCCCCCCCCGGCTACTGCGGGCATTTGCCCGCCTTGTCAGTTACGTGGGTGGGTATCTGCAAATTTTGCGCTGCCCAGGGGCAGGGCATTTGCCAACCCCGAGCTAACCCCGAACTTTTGACACGCACGCGGTTTCCTATCAGAATATAACCACACAGAGTATTTTACTGTAAAAACAAGCAGATTGGCTCATAGCAGGCAATATGATACTATAATAACACGCAAAAATTTAAATGAGATAAAAAAAAAAGTGAACGTTGAAAACAAAAACCGTTGAAGTAGTGATTGAAAGAACTTTACAAAATATAAATCTAGTATAAATAAATGATAGCAAATAGAAGAAATAAAGACTGTATTTTATTTCATCTTTCTTATTCATACCTAATGGTTCAAGAGTTTTACCTTTCTCGATGAGGTATGCTTCTCTAGCTTTTCGACACGGTCTCTATTAGATTTAATGAGCTCTAGTGGGATGAGTGTGATGTCGTTAGCAGAGTGATCATTAGTACGAAAGTGTTTTGAGACTGTGGTGGGTTTAGAGATATTAGATGAGT